AGGGTCGGAGGAAAGTAGTTCGGCTGCTCATCCACTATTGGTCCAGATTCTATCAATCTTGTCGCGAAACGACGTTATAGGAGGTACTTTATACGAATGTTGCTACAATTTTCTCGCTACGTTATAGGAATTGTCGTTATAGGAACGCACGTTATAGGGGGGTCGACTGTATAATTGAATATACAGACGATACTAAACTCAATTTACCCGCCTAAACTGTCCGTAGCGTGGTGCTGGACGGCGGAAAGTAGTTCGGCTGCCCGATGATGTTTTACGTAATTATAGGAGTTTTTTACCGTTGCTTACGGATACCGCCACAATTTTTTCGCCGTCTTATAGGAATCGTAATTATAGGAACCCGTCTTATAGGGATCTACTGTATATCCAATTAATAATATTACAAGTAATTTCTAAAAAAAGGAACCGGTGACATACAGATGTCTTGCTTGCATCCATCATAACTTCGTTGGGGGTTGATACTGCTTTTATCTACTAAAAACAAGCGCTGGAAAATTTAGATTTGAAGAAAGCTGCCCCCTGCTGACGATACATGTATAATTTTCATCTGTAAATTTTCGTCGGATGGAGATTACTTTTTTCTTTTTAAAATAAAATTTAATTAATAAAATCTCCATCGGACGAAAATTTACAGAAGTTTTATAAAATTCAGTTTTTACCATTAAAGTTATTACATAGTAACTCAGGGAAGATAGTTATACTTTTGTTTGCATACGACTACCTACCTCAGATTTATATTTTACAAACCATGACTAGGCACATACGATACCTTAAACCTGAACATTGTTTTCATCTATAAGATTAATCTACTGGAAGAAAATTATCCAAATACAGTGATACCTAGACTTACGCTACCCCGACTTACGCGAACCCGGAGTTACGCGATTTTCAAATCTCGTCGATTCGTCTTTTGTTTGGGCAGCACGCAACTCTTGATTACTCATTCCCTCCACACTATTGTTCAACTTACATGTTCGGACGTGTCGCGCGCGGAATTGACACATAGCTACAATTTATTTTGTGTTATTTATTTCTGTGTTTGTTATATCTACGGAGACTCGAGAGACTCTATGTGGTGATTTCTTGTAACAATGAACGAATCAAAAAACGAGATAAGATTAACGAGAACATTTATTAGCTTACATACATCTGACTTGGATTTTACACACATTGAGAAATTATACCCCGACTTACGCGGTTTCGACTTACGCGGTTATCGCTCGGTCCCACCTATCGGGTAAGTTCGGGGTATTACTGTACAGGTACGCGAATTACCATCTTTACATCTTTACATTGGTTGAAGATGATCAAAGAAAAACTGAATGGGAAAATATGATTATACATAGCTTTTTAATATAAACTAACATTAAGTTACAAATATGTAGCTTATTTATATTAAAATCATAAACAAGTAATTAATTAATTATTCTACAACATCTGGATTCCTTGTATTTGTTGTGCTGTCATCACCAGGTTCAATCTCGTCGCAATTGAGGAAGAAGGTTGAGGATTTAGTGTAGGTGTCATGCATCCACCTTCTGCACCTTACGTATTCTGTACATTCGCAGGACTCGCCACGTTTAGCATCGTAGTAGCTGCGACAGACGGAATACTAATCAGCATCATTGAACGAGGCTGATGTATTTTTTCTGTACTCCCTTTGATGATTCGTTTCTTTATTCATTTCCGAGAAGATTTGAACTGGCTTTCCCTTTTTATATTCAGATTTCTGTTTGTGATTGTTTTCGGCTTTTAAACTCCAGCAAAGCTAGCACTTCTGCATATTGTTTTTTTTTTTTGGACATGGTCGCTTCCAGAGCTTATGCGTGGTATTGGGCGCAATTGTTCGAAACTTGCCGAAGTTGAGTTCTTGATGTATTTGCTGATGTAATGGGAGTTACTGTAATGGGAGAGAGAAAATGGGATTCAAGTTGTAATGGTCCAGGTGACTGGTCGGTGGAAGAAGACACGATATTCTGAATATCTTGGTTCATCGACAGACAGCAAAGATGGGATATTACAATCGGATGTTTCCGAGTCAGTAGGCAGTCGTCTTGAATGCCCAAAGTACGCATTTCTTGAACCCATTTACAGCATTCCTGACTTTGAATCAAGCGTTCTAGGTTTCTCCTAGCAGTTCTCTGTATTAAGCAATAGTGGAAATATTATTTCACCAGAAAGATGATTGTTTATGCTGCAGTTATACAGATGCAGTTTTTTACATCAAATTTACTATACGACAAAACCAAACTTTCAGTGAATAACACGGACATGGGTGACATAAGAAAAGATTATGTTAACCATCTTCCTCCATATTTTGGGTAAGATGACTAACACCATCTTCTATAGAATAAATAGAAACCTATAGGATAAAACGGTTTTTCACCTGATTCACAATTGAGCGTAGCTGCTTTGTTGTTTCACAAACAGATACAATCACCATGTGCTAGATTTCATTATTGCCAAAGAAAATACCGATAATAATATGTTTTTGTCGCTAAATAGCATTCAAGAACAAAGCATGAAATAAATTTAGATGCTTATTTCTAGTCTATAAATTCTCAAATCGTTATAAATTCAAAAGTACTTATAGAAAAATGCTGCAAGTTAAAATGCAGAAAGGCTTTAATGCGTGCAGAGTTGTCAATGCGGTGGTAATGGAGACATATGTCGAAAAAACTCACGAACATTGATGTCATAGCCATCCTACTCCGAGTTACCTTATATTATTGTTTAAAGGAAACTAGATGAATGAAACGGTTTAAAATTCATATTCGTACAAAAACCTTTAAGATGTAAAAAAATTTCCCCAAGTAAAAACTTAGGACAGTCAAAATTTTTATTAGCAGTTCTTTTTTGTTGGAAAAGACAAACTTGGAGGTTAAAGGCAAAATATACGGTAAATACAGATAAAACTTTTATGCTTCTAACACAATAAAGTGCTATAAATTAAGACACTTGGCGGGTTGTCTCATCTTTATTTAGTTGAATTTATTTATGCTTCTAACACAATAAAGTGCTATAAATTAAGACACTTGGCGGGTTGTCTCATCTTTATTTAGTTGATACGTGTGAAAAAATTTACACGTTTCGGGCTTTTAAGCCCCTCTTCAACATTAAAAGCCAACTAAAACATTAAAAGAGGATATAACATATATATAAAAAAATACACAAGTTTTGTAAAATTCATAAGAATATAAACATACCTATGCATACAAGTTTTTTTTAAAAATTGAAGTAACAGCTTGAGTACGGCTGTTAACAGCCGTACTCAAGGTATGCCTTAATAGAAGATAGTTTTATAGATTCTGTAAAACTGATGTATAGTTTGTATATATGTCGTATACTCCCCTAATATTATAGTTGGCTAAAAGGAAAAAATATTGTGAACAAGCTGATGTTACTGGAAAATATCGGGAGTAGCTGTTACTTCAATTTTTAAAAAAACCTGTATGCATAGGTATGTTTATATTTTTATGAATTTTACAAAACTTGTGTATTTTTTTATATGTATGTTATATCCTCTTTTAATGTTTTAGTTGGCTGAAGAGGGGCTTAAAAGCCCGAAACGTGTAAATTTTTTCACACGTATCAACTAAATAAAGATGAGACAACCCGCCAAGTGTCTTAATTTATAGCACTTTATTGTGTTAGAAGCATAAACGAATTGCAAAGCACGGTTTCATATCATCAAAACAGATAAAACTGTAAAAAAACAATTCATTTCCAAAGAAAAACATTTGAGATGTAAAAACATTTCGCCAAGAAAAATTTATGACAATTTGGACAACAATCGAAATTTTTCTTAGCAGATTTTCTTTAGTGAAGATACGTTTGGCAGTACCTACAAGATTTTATAGATAAATACAGTTTACATGTCCAAATTGCCATAAATTTTTCCTGCCGAAATTTCTTTTTACATCTCAAATGTTTTTGTTTGGATATGAATTGTTTTTTGTTAAATAATTGTGTTATTACGTCAAAAAATAAGATGGCTCGGCGACCATTGATCAACGCGCCGATCAAGTGAACTACCATCCAAACGCTTTCATATTCATGTCAGTCTGTGCCGACCAAACCAAACACGTCGTCGCTGCCAGTCGAACGCGCCGCCGACTGATGCTTTTGATAGGCCGTTTATAAAAATATTTATAAAAAGTTTTAATTGGCATAAATTTATGCTTTGGTAATTCTGAGTAACATTTTGAATATAATTCGTATGTTTCCATGCAATTTTATCCTTATATGCATAAAATTGAGCCGTAAAACTAAATTAGATCTATGGGGAAACCCCGGTGAACTTTGACTTATCGAGCCGGAGGTTTTGCCAGCACCTTATTAATAACAGAAAAGACTTACGTTTAAAATTTGAGCTATATAGACCCGTTAGTTTCTTCTCTACCAGCGTATGCAGTGCCGGATGAAGAAGAAAAGGAAGATACAGCTTTTTTGGGATTTTTGCACTTTTCAATTGCTTAGGCCTATATTTCGGAAACCGCATTACAGAAAATCTTGAAATTTTGCAGACTACTTAAGAAAACAATTTTCTTTCAAACGAGGTATTTCGAATTACTTTAGGTGTTTAGGAGAGGAGAAATCGATCCCCGATAATCGGCAACTCTGATTCTTATACTGTATATATAGTCAGTCAGCATTTTACTTGGCGTGAAGTCACTGCCGTGACTCCTGATTAGGATTTCATGCATATTATTATTTAGTGTTTCTGTTTATTATCGATTAATAATTTTTAATATCCATCACTATTATGTGTTTAGTTTTATCAGCTTTAATTAATTTTAATTTAATATCATTTAAATACTGTATTCACTTTTATTTTATATTCATATACTTTAATTTTATTTCGTTTATTTAATTTATTTCTTAATATTATATCTTGAAGTTTTATTGTGATATGTTTAACAATTTAAAAACATTATCTTGGTGTCTGATTAGTCATAAATTTATAAGCAAGAAGATGGGCTTAGAAATAAACTAAATTTTACCATTGACTTAAAAAAGGCGATATCATTTGATCCCCGATATCTCTTGTTTTAGATCGAGTTTTACAATTTGGCTTTGTCAGTATTACTTTTATTATTGTGAAAAATTTCTTTCAAATACGTCAAGTCTTACCGAACAGTGTTTCAGCTATTTGTCAATTTAAGTCGCTGACAAGGAATCTTTCTCGCTTCTATGAATTTGGACGTGTTATTCAGACTTGTTACCAAATGTTATCAGAACGGGGTCATAATTTTTCAAAAAATCTTTGAAATATTTCATGGGCAATTCTTAATCTACTTTATTTTTCGTGTGACCAAATTGATACTTATGCTCTTTCTGGTCCTAGTTTCAAATGTTTTGTTCTTTAATTTTAAAATATTTTTTTTTGTCTTATGCCGAAAGTTCAGAAGTAAGGAGGAGTAAGGTTTAAGAGAAGTAGCTGAAGAATGTGCCAAAGAAGGTATTGTTAATGACGGAACTATCTTACAATGTAATTTTTTTGATTTGAACATCGAAGTTAACGAAAAGCACATTTGAGATGACTTATAAATTATATTATACCAAAAATATGTAATATCAGGTGTGGTAGCTGATGAATACTTAGTTTGAGTATATGTCTCTTTAATTCGAATCAGTAAAATCCGGTAGACTTTTTCTCAGCTATAAGGTTAGGCACTCTTTTATTGCAAATCACAAATGCACTTCAGGCCTATATGAGCCCCTCTTCAGTGTAAATGCTCAGAAGACAGAGCAACGCTTTTCTAATTATATGACTCTAACAATGATATTTTATATAATCCAAAAACCATGAATGTGTATTGAATAACACTATTACACAGGTACAATTAAAAACCTGTAAAGTATTCAAAACCATATCGTTTACTTTAATACCTAACATCATAAGTCAGAAGTATCATGTGTTACACCAATAACGTTGACAAATATGATAAACTGTAATGAAAACATGATTTATTCTGATATCGTCTTAAAGTATACGATATGGTTTTGAATACCTTGCAGGTTTTTAATTGTACCTGTGTAATAGTGTCATCCAATACACATTCATGTTTTTTTGGATTATATAAAATATTGTTAGTCATATAATTAGAAAAGCGTTGCTCTGTCTTCTAAGCATTTACACTGAAGAGGGGCTCATATACGCCCGAAATGCATTTGTGATTTGCAATAAAAGAGTACCTAACACTATAGCTGAGAGAAAGTCTACCGGGTTTTACTGATTCGGGTTAAGGAAACATAAACACAAAAAAAAAAACAAATACGTAAGCGGAAAGGAAATAAAAAAGCAAGAAAAAACGAACTTTTATTTAAAAATCATTGGCAGAAAATAGTGAAGTGCTACTTAAAAAAACTAATTTTTGTCACCTTACGCTACAGCATTCTAAAATTCCTCTTAGTGAAGTCAGCTATACAATTTTGAAAATTGCTTTGGAGAGATGAACTGGCAAAATCTTTCCTGATGAAAGTAACTCATACTTTAAGAAATTGTTGCCTTCAAATGGCACATGGAGAAAACATTCAGTAACAAATAATATATTTTTGTAGAAACTGTATTGGAGAAACGAAACAACGGATGACATGAAATAGTTGGCTTCTAATATATTAGTGTCCCCAGGCAATACATTGGATGCAGTGCTCTTATACATAAGTTCTTAAAGCTCCAAATGTGTAATGATGCCCATGAAATACAGGCATTTAATAATGTCTGCATGTAGCTGTGCACGAATGACACGAAATACCAAAACGTATGGCTGTCCTAACAGACCAATCTACTTAACATAATCTTAGCTTTTAGGAATTTAAACTTAATATTTTTTAACTTGAATCACATTTCATGCAGAGCACACGCCTTTCATTTGATGTCTGAAGTAGTACGTGTTAAAAATCCCAAAGCAAGCATGTCATGTTTATCTCAGACACGAGAAAAGCTATAAAGGAAACTCCTGGAATAGTCGATCTTTGCTTGAAGGATTGACTATTGTATACCCCAGTTTGTGATGAACGAATTAGGTGGCAGGAAAAGATGCCATCTGATTCGTTCATAACAAAGTGGAGAAATCAGAACGGGCTGGAATTTTTTATTATCGAAGTCTTGACAAAATTAATGAATTCGCTCTGCATGTTGAGTATTCTGGATATGCTGCAGTTGGTCATATCTATATATATAAAAATGAATGTGTGTGTGTGTGTGTGTGTGTGTGTGTGTGTGTGTCTATCCTTCATGCATTACCACACCGTTTATCCGATTGCCGTGAAACTTTGGGCAGTTGTTTAATATACTTCCGCGAAGGTTTCTGGCATAGTACATTTATCCTACGATAGATGGCGCGCGTGTATACGAGCACTGTATGTTCTGTGTTCGATCGATTTCAAATTGTGAAGACCATTTCCCCCTCCAAAAAGTATCTCTATATATGCATTTGTTATTTACGATATTTGTAATAATTTT